TTTACTAACTGATCATATTTGCTCCTTCCAAGATACTTAGTTTTTGTTTTCCCATGATAGGTTTTTGCATTCCATGATACGGTTGCACAGTCCAATAAGAATGAGTAACCAAAAAATGCTGCAAATCATTTTTCATTGCCCTTTTCTTCCTCTTGCAGGTGCTGTGTCCATGCATCTCCATAATGAAAGTTTGGCATGACTTCTGAATCATATATGATTACTGTTGAAGTGCCAATCAATTTTAAGAAATCCTGTTTAAATTGTGCCCTTAAATCTTAATAGGTTAATACTAAGCATAGTCTGCCCAATGGATATTAAAGCAAACTGATTAAAGCAATCTAAAAACCAAGGAGGAAATTGACATATAGGAAAAGGAATATAAAAGTCTGTATTAAGCCTCCAGTTTCCTGAACTATGGTTTATGGGATTATCAGGACCAAGCCCAGACTAGGTACTTTCAGTTGCATGCAAGAATCACATATAGTAGGGTATAGTTTATAAATGGTGGTGTAGGTTCTTTCTGACCTGAATAATTTCAGCTTCTGGACACTAAGTACAACTTAAATGGCTTAGGAACGGCATGAAAGGGATCATTTTATACATCATATACTTCTGTAAACCAGGAGTCTGATTGAGCTGACTGGGGTGGGGGGTGGGGGGCGGGAAGAGTATAAAATATGTGAAATATGTGCACACATTCTCAGGGAATGTTCTTTTTGGTACTATTCTCTCTTTCCATTTGCTACACCTTCTGAAATACACTTCAGGTATTCAATAACTCCAAGGGGAAGCAAATGAAACCCTCACATATACCCTGGAAATAGGCACTGTATAGCAAATATTAGAATGTAAATAAAGCAATGCCCTAATTCCTACACAGTTATGGGTAACATAGAGAAAGTTAGGATAGAAATGTGGCCATTCTCCTGTAGGGATAATTGAAGGAAACCTCTTTTAATATTAACTTTACTGTACTTAATTTGCAGTGCTAATCTAACTGCAATAAAATTGACAATTTTCAAGAACCTACATTTCATGTACAGTTGAACTGACATTAGCAGGAAAGGTCAATTCTTTTACTTAAAGGTTTCAAAATATATATCTTCTAGTATGCCTTTTGTATTTTTTTTAATGATAATATAATTGTATCCCATAGCCCTCCCTTTAAAGGAAAATTAGCTTACGCTCAAAGGAGTTAAGAAATAGATCAGGCCAAATTCATTTTTAAATTGCACCGTTGGATCCAGCTGTACTGAATCTAGAGACAGTGGATAATTTTCTTTCCATATTCAATGTGTTGTAATATTAGATAGAATCAAGTTGTGAATTGTTACAAGTTTCTCAAACCACTGTCAATTTAAAGCAAATATTTCAAGGCAGTGGCCTGCTCTCACAGTTAAGCAAACACTGATCATCATGGGATTAAATATGAAACAGAAAGCACATTTTGGCCTTAGATCTTTAAATATCGAATAAGCTTCAGTTTTATTTGAAAAAAAATGCTAGGAGGGTTTGAGTGGATGGAGGATTTTGGAATATGGAGCACTGGGTGTGTATGACATGTATCTGATGGATACAGAATGCAGAGAATTCATGGAGAAAATCCAGGGCAATGCAACAAATCCTTGGAGGGAAAAGTCAACCAACTCCAGATGTTGATACGGTTGATTGCAAACGCATGAAGTGTTTCAGATTTAGCTGTTTCAGCCTGGGAATTTCTTTCTTTCTTCCAACTACAGGAAATGGAATGCCGCCTTGCTTGTATTAAGAGAAGCATAAAGTGGGAGAATTACAGAAAAAAAAACCCCACCTCAGCTTCTTCTGTTTTCCAGAAGCAAAATATATGAGTAACACCTTT